GAGGCTTGAATGCACAGACCTCAGATGCAAAATGATGTGATAACAGTGAAGGTTGGCATCTTGCCATGCCGCATGTTCGTCCCAAAAGTAAACACGTTTAGCGTTTGGGGTCTGCATTCGCCCAAGTCTCTCCTGACTCGGAGCCACAAAGAGCTTTGTAGAGGGCTGAAGATGCATCAATTTGGAGCGAATTTTCACTGTAGCTTTGCAAGAACTCGTAGCGGGCGCCCTGCATCAAGAAGGATCTTTTTGGAAGCTCTGAGCACAAGGGCAGACCGTCACCCAGGTAGTTCTTGTCCAAATCCTGCTTGGGATACGAATCGTGCCAGCGCTCGATCATCTGCGTTGGATCTATCCGATTCCTCGGAGCTGAAGTGGTTTGACTTTAAACACTGCTCTAGTTCGGGCCTTAGCCAACATAGTTCACTATCTGTAGTGCAGCTACTCAGCTACTCCTTTTCAACTACCAGCCGTATACGCTCCTTCCTTGCTCTTATCCTGTGTCTCAACGGCACGGCGATCATGCGTTGGATCGACGACTACCTGTGCACCCTTCCGGTTGGAGTCATGTGCTACAGGTACGTCGATTGACGGGCGCAGTCCACTGTGGCTTTTGGGCCAAAATCTGGAAGTGATGACATCTTTTTACACCTGTGCGCTCAAGCCTGCCCTAGGCCCTAGACTTAACACAAGCATTAAGAAATGTTGCCCCAGCAATAAAGCCAGCTAAATGCTAAATCCAAGAAGCGTTCCGCTGGAGCTTCGAACCTCCTCCACATTTGCTCTTGGCAACTCGAGGTCGAGACCAGTGAACACACGGGCCAGGGTCATGATGTCCTTCACACTCAAGAAAAGCAACAGGACGAGTGAAGGAACAACTCAACGCAAAAGTGAAAACAACCCGAAAACCTCACAAGTTAAGCTCTTGTGTTTGAGACCGGAGGCAAAAACGGAGGGGGGGGAGCGTGGGGTGACGGGCGGGCGGGAGGTTGAAGTGAGGCTGGAGGGTGAGGGGACGTGAGGCGAAGTGAAGTGAAGGTGACGTGAGGCGGGCAGACGCGGCGGGCACGGCGACGGGACGCAGAATAAAGCAAGAACCTCACACAAAGAAGTTGCTCCTCGTTATTGTAAGTAGGAATGGGATTTCCATTTCCATCCAAAGCTTGTGAACCATCAAGGTTCAGTTTTACGGTGCCAATAGTGAAGAGTTGCATCACCTGAAGTCATAAAACAATCACTCAGGCAATTCCAACAGCAAGTGACAGAACACTTTGTTGCACGGTTTGTCACAAGCACTGGGTGTGTTTTTGTGGTCGATGCCTATGACATGTCCACAAGGTTTACCAAACTTTCGACAGATCTTAAGATCCTTCCCCGGCCTCGCGTGCGTAATTCTCGTCAGGGTAGTTTTGGTCGTGATCATAGGCAGAATTTCTCAAAAAGGAGAGGTACTCGGCCATCAACGGGCTGAAGGTGACTTCCTTCAAGAGATCCAGGTAGTTTCCAAAGGCCTTTCCCACAAGGATTCGGACACCGCCAAAGTGCAAGTTTTGATTGAAACGGTTGGGCGCCAAACCGCAAAAACAATCACATGCAATCACTCATCACTGGCCTTCCTCACCAAAATGTCATAGTAGTTTATCCAAAGTTCACTGTCTCGCTCGTAGCCGAAACCACCAGTACCCACAACCAAAACCTGTGACAACGCCCAGGCCATTCTTTGCCGCAACTGGTCAGAAGAACGCAACACCTCAGCGCCGAAAGTGCGACATTGAGAACAAACTGTCTCCAGGCTGGTTCGCACATTGAAAAAATTGTGCGCACAGAACGTGCCGCCTCTCATCACGGCCTGCGTGATTAAACAAAAGCAGCGGGGCGCGGCTGTCCAAAATGCAAACCGTTTGCGCGCAATCTGCATCCAAATTGCATATCACAGCAAACTTGAAAGGTCTTCGTTGAGCGGTGACTTTAAGGGTGTTGATGGCCCCCTGCTCCCGGTCGAGTCCAAACTACACTTCTGACGGGGACGTATGATGCCAAAGCATCCACAAATTCAACATATGATGCATTTGGTCTGGTTGCGCCACCTCCGAAAGGCCTGATTTATATAATGGTATTATCCCGGCGAAGAGATCCCAAACAGCCCAAAAAGTGTGTGTGTGTAAGGTCTATAAGCAGGAAGTCTAGAGATCTAGACGCATTGGGGTACAGAGAGGTGATGGTGGTGATGAGGGTGGAAATCGTGGTGAGGAAGGCGTGGTGGTGAGTGTGGGTGTGAGCGTCCAGTGAGTGAGTGAGTGTCTGTGAGTGAGTGTCTGTGAGTGAGTGACTGTGAGTGAGTGAGTGAGTGAGTGAGTGAGTGCGTGCGTGCGTGCGTGCGTGCGTGCGTGAGTAAGTGAGTGAGTGAGTGAGTGAGTGCGTGTCTGTGAGTGCGTGTCTGTGAGTGAGTGTCTGTGAGTGAGTGTCTGTGAGTGAGTGTCTGTGAGTGAGTGTCTGTGAGTGAGTGAGTGAGTGAGTGAGTGAGTGAGTGAGTGAGTGTCTGTGAGTGTCTGTGAGTGTCTGTGAGTGTCTGTGAGTGTCTGTGAGTGAGTGAGTGTCTGTGAGTGAGTGAGTGTCTGTGAGTGAGTGAGAGTGAGTGAGTGAGTGAGTGAGTGAGTCTGTGAGTGTGTCTGTGAGTGTCTGTGAGTGTCTGTGAGTGTCTGTGAGTGTCTGTGTGTGTCTGTGAGTGTCTGTGAGTGTCTGTGAGTGTCTGTGAGTGTC